GTGAAGATACTCAAACCCTAAATGGACAAGGTCCTGAAAGTCTATTTAAGAATTATCACAGCTGGATTGAAATTATTTGCTATTTCAGGAGCATGTTTCATTTGCTGGCCATCAATATCCTAACATTTTTCTGGTAAAAAGAAGAAGAAATAAAAAAGTAAGAAAGGGCTGGAAAGGGGTAGCTCACCTAACATATTCTCACTTCCCCAAGAAATTAAGGTTTGTTTGCTTACAGGCTGATAAAAGCTTGCTAATATCATCTGTTCCAACCCATCCCCCAAATCCTAGAGCCTCTTAATGATTTTCATGCTATATAATACGTATGTTCCTATATTCTCCAGAATCTATTTTTTTCACTTTAGATTGCGACAGAAATTTGACTTTCTTTTTCAGTACCTCCAAACCCCAAAACATGAGCCTCCCGCTGCTCTCATCTCTCTGAGGAACATTATAGCACAGCTGTATAAGCAGAGAATAATTTTCAAATGTGCCAGCACAAGTCAAGTAAGACAATTTTATGCTTTATCCCATGCTGTTGCACACACATATTTTCAATATCTGGAAAAAAACCTTCCTCTTTCACCTTCTAATCCATCCTTCAGGGTTTTCATTTCCTGTGATGCTGTTATCACTTGAACATGGTTATGCTACTGCCCTTTTAAAACACCTTTATTATTACAATAACGCTGTCTGTCTCCATAAGGTGTCTCTCATCTTGTGTGGAGATTGTATGCTCTTAGGACAGTGGCTAGTATTTTGTTTTCTCACAGTAGATGGGTCTTTTTGCCATTAGTACTGTAATAACTATAAATAGTCTCTATGCCTCGGTACACACGTTTTATTCATTTTTCTCTGTTTTTAAGAACTGATCATTGCATTTAAGTACACAGACTTTAAGACATACTGTATAACATTCAAAAGCAATATTACTTTGTCCTAGAAACATCCGCCAATGATGTTTTTTCCCTCTAGTCTAATTGTTCTTCTTCACTGACAGAAAATGATCTATGTAATGCCAAATTGTCTGCTGAATTAAGAAAAAATAAAACCAAACCAAAACAAACAAACAAAAAAACTGAAACAAACCACACAGTCCCAAATCTTCAGGATCAAATCCACAATAATGTGCTTACAAAAAGTGATTTTTAGCTTCAAACAGCTTTTGAGAATCAATATTTAGCCATATACAATAACTACATGTATATGTACATTTTGCATTGATATGCATCTTGGACACTCTATATCTGGAAAAATCTAAGCACACGTCAATGACTTTAGTGGACAGGACATAAAGTTAGTACAACACAAAACAGAATATCCAAATATATTCTGAAAAGCATCTGAAGCACCTCTACTTAGAGCCAAAGTTAAGTTACAAAGCATCTTCATGAGGAAAATATACCTTGGTTAAACGTGGCCTGATTCTACCGAAGCTACCTTTAACAACGTTTTATCAGGAAATAAGTTATGTTAATATATGGTGAAAATAAATATTTTTATTAGCACACTGAACTGGAGAAACAAGGAATATTGAAAGCTGGCTTGTACACTATCATAAAGAAGGCTTTATTTTTAAATGGTCATGCTTCCTTTTTCACAGAATCATAGAATCATAGAATCGTTGAGGTAGGAACGGACCTCTCTCTAGAGATCATCTAGTCCAACTCCCCTGCACACGCAGGGTCACCTAGAGCACGTGGCACAGGACTGCGTCCAAGCGGGTTTTGAAGATCTCCAGAGAAGGAGACTGCACAACCTCTCTGGGCAGCCTGTTCCAGTGCTCTGTCACCCTCCGTCACCCTTTTCCTATCCTGAGTGACTACAGATATCACATAAAAATACTGATGAAAAGAGAAAGCTAAATAAATCAACCAGTAACAAAGTTCCAGCATGTTGGGAACGGTATTTTCTATTCTGTGATAGCCAGTATAATTTCTCATGATACTTCTTTCCTCCAAAGACTTTTTAAGGCCTTTTAATGATTTTAAAGGTTGTTTAGAGGGCTAAAACATAGTGACCTTCACAGAATGGGTAAAATGACTCCATATTTCACATTTTTTCCTTAACACATACAATTTAACCACCAGGAATCAGTTATCTAAGGCTTTAAAGAGTCTGACTATATTGGAGGTTACATAGTCTTCATTATTTATTGCAATAACAAACACAGCCACCACGACTAGCACAATACTTTCAGAATAAACAACATAACAATTTGTTGCAAATTGTGTTTTGGGTAGTCTTTTTCATAATCGGTATTTCATGGAACTGCAGATTTCCTGGTAACATGTTGTTTGCTGGAGCTGTTAAAGGTACACAGAACCAGCTAGGTGAAATCCTGCCCAATGTACTGTCACTGACTGGTTAAGTCCACCATTTAACCACTGCTGTACATGATGAATGGCAATTGATGTGAACATGACCCCATTCTCAGCCTATTTGCAACCTCATATGAATCTTCAGCCCACAGCTTTGAAACACTGTAACAAAAGCTTCTTTACAAATGATCACATGTTCAGGGAATTGATAACAGAACCTATTTCTGAACAGTTAATTAATGAATTATATTCATTAGTACAACTTTTCCCTCTGAACAATGTATTACTACCACAATATTTGACTTTTATGGCAATCATTTCCCTAAAGCCACACAGAGTGCTGTATATTCTGATGTTATTCTGGTTTTCAGAAAACATTTTACTTTTGAAAGTTAGAGTAAGTATAAGAAAGGCAGAGAACAACTGAAGGGAAGGAAAACAATTTGATTTATGAGGATTGTAACCTGACTTCTTTGGCAGATAATTTGAAGCATTTGGCTAGCCAAAAATTTTTTGATGGTCCTTTTTTTTTTTTGGCTATGTAAATGTGGATGCTTCTACAAATAATTTTACTTCAAGGATGCTATTTTACTGCCAGTCACATCAATGCTGACCTGCAATAACTGTATTTGCATTTGCATAGAATTAGCTGCTTTTCTTTGAATATCACTAGTTGAACAGGGCTCTCAGTACCTTTGCAAGCTGTCAGAATTTTGGCGGTTTATCAATTAATCTTAAGGGTTTTTTTTGTTTGTTTGTTTGTTTTGGAGGGGGTTTTTCTGAGGGTGAGGTGGGTATCAGGGCCATGATAAATTTCCTGTAATGATTCTCTCTCTCTCAAGAGAGAAAAAATTAGAAATTTGGGTCAGTATTTACAGCACAAAATGCATACATAAATGTATATATGAGTGTATATAAAAAAAAATGTATAAATAACACACACACACATACAGACATTTCATAAAATTAAACTACTAAATGGTAAAACATGTGAACTGAGGAAACTCCTGTATAGGCTGTTGCTTTTGTGGGCAACTGCGTTTCTGATGCTTTCTTACATACGCTGATCTAATAACCAATTTGTAATTCTAACCTTAGATATACAACAGCTCATGGACCTTGTCAGGAACCTAATTCAAAGTTTGATGAAAAGACTCAGACTGGATTTAAGGCATCTTGGATCATCCTCCAAACTAATATAGCATAAGAAAAAAAGTCTTCTTAATATCACATTTTTAAGCTTAAAATATCTCCCTCTTTTCTTATTTCCTCTAGTCAGTATATCATAATTTTACAATCAGTAACGCAGTATTCCATATTCCTGTCACTGCTGTGAACACATCAACAGGTATGAGCAGGACAAACTTTTAAAAGTATTTCATAAACATATATATTTTTATAAATAACTCTTGACATTTCTCATCCTTCTTCCAGTTCTCCCATTCTTCATTTCTTTCACCATCAGAAAGAAAAGTGCTTACATTATTTTCAGGAGTATTTTTTGCAACAAATACAAAACTATTGTAACAATCAATTGCTTTTTAAAAAAATACTATTATTGTTAGGATCTAAATCTCAAAAAAAAAAAGCTGTCTATAATAGAGGTCTATAACAGATTCAAAAGAAAAAATGTGTGCGAGAGAGAGAGAGAGAGACGTCTATCTGGCTGCAAAAAGGATTGCAAAAATACATCTTAAAGAATGTACTGGCTATGACTGGAAGATACTTTTTTTGTCACACTATAATTAGCAATTGCAATTCTATTTAGAGTACTAAACTTACTGAATCAGAAGAACTGGTTCCAAATAAGCAGCTTTCAGCATCAGTAGAAAGGTCTACTTTTTCACACCTTTTGCTTTTTTTGCTGCTGTTGTTTTTGACTTGTTTGGGGGTTGGCAGTGGTGATTATGACTAAATATGCAAGCTCTATATCTTCATACAGAGATTCACAAGAGTGATCATTTTTTGTGATTTACTATCACACCTTTCTATGAACTTACAACCATCCTTTTAAATCTCCAGTACAATAACCACACAGTTAAAAAGACAAGTTAATCAAATCCTGTTGACCTTGCGTAGATATTATTTGCAAAGAAATACCTTTTACCCACACAATAATATAAAGGCTAAGAATTCAGTATGAAGACTCATTTAAGCAGGATAATTGGCATTCATAGCACTTACCTGATTATGTAGAGAAGAGGTTATACAGCTATTTTCCAGCTCAAAACCATGTAATAGCCATTTAAAAAAAATAATGCAATGCTTGTAAGTTATGAAAGTTAGTTTTTTACTGACAATGCTTTTGTAAGAGGCTTCTATGAATAATTAGTGCAATTTGCTGCATTGTTTGTGGTTAAAAGAAACGTGCAATTATTTATACAGAGATGCGGCATATAGATTATGAGGCTTAGATCAGTTGATATTTAATAGTTCTGCTACTATAAAAATTAGTCAAGTCACAAGTATTGCATTCTATCCTAAAAGAATGATAAGCCTCTTTTCACAAAGAGAAATTCCTTACATGACTCTCTTACTCTCACCAGAATATTGAAAGGAATAATAAAAAAAAGGAATATTGCACAGAAAGATGGATCAAGCATGAATCAATGTGGCAAGCACATAACCAAACAGACATGGAGTTAAACAAGAAAAAAAAATCAACACAATTTATTGCTTAACCTGTTTTGTCAGAGCTGGTATTGATGGTATTGGTAGTGATGGAAGTGAAGGTAGTCTTTGCGCTGTCCTTGGTAGTAACAGATTTCTGCTTATTTTTCATGGCTTCCAGTGCTTTGAGCTTCTTGGCATGTTTAGTGCCTTTGTAGTGGGCCGCAGCCTGGCTCTACAAAGGAGAACAAAATGAACCATGCAATCAGGCTCATTTCTAAACTGGCATTCTCTGTATTACTACAAATACAGACCACCTTTCAATAATGGGTACCATTCACGTTATGCAAGTAGTGGCCAAACTGTAAATTATATTTAGAATGATGCTTAGGAAACAACGGAAAAAATAATCAAGGAACCCAATTTGAGAGATAATATAACTGTAAAACAGTATATTACTATCAGTCCAATGTTAGTTTATTCTATCATGCTTAAAATCTATATTAGCTCTTCTACTAAGAACTTTTTCACTTTTGCTTAAGAAAAAAAAAAAGAAAAAATAAAAAAGAAGGCCCTCAGGTGACAGGGAGGGAAGTACTTTTGTCACATTATTTTTTCATTTATAAATTTCTATCAATGCAGATTTTGCCAAAATTTCCTTCAAGGAATAGTTTGCTTTCAGCAATGGACTCAAGAACTTCCCAGATAGAAAGCAAAGACTGGCAGTAAAAATGAAACAAAATAAGGAAACCCCAAAGACACCTAAACACAAACAAACAAACAAACA